GTGCTTATCTTGCCGGACAGCGGCGTCGATTCGGTCAGCTGACGATTCGCCAGCTTGCAGAGTTCCGGTCACTTTACATAATCACGAGGATTCCTCGTTCCTTTGGGAAGGGAAGAGTCGCGGAAATTCTTTTACTCCGGCAATCTTTCCCCTCCCCAAGGAGACGAGAATAGCGTTGACGACTCGTTGTTGTATTTTAGCTTTACGCGAAGCGGAGAGCAAACAAGGCTCGATAAGATGATACTTTTGAGAACATTGCAAGCCCAATCGCCGGTTATCGTCGTCATCGAGAATGAAGGAGTCCCTCGAGAATCCGTAGCGACGGTCGTCAGAGCCGACAATCTGTTATATCGCGCCGTGGCCGATATCGGTCCGACAGTGTTCCGGCTTTTGCACGAGAAAGAGGCCGCGAGGAAGATGAAGGAGACGAGATATATAATTGAGCTCGCGTGTGTCACGATACAGCAGGGAAATCGTAAGAAGCGGCCGATTTTCTCGTTCCGGGACTCCCTGGACGGCCGTCTCGGTTTATCGCGATTTGTTATTACGCCGAAATCTGTTAGTTTTTTGTCCTTACATATTAGCGTTAAAAATAGAGGACTGGAATAGTAGAGATGCCGTTGTGTTGTTCTTTATCTCATTTTTCATCTTTTAACAAGAGAAAGGAAAAACCGAGAGGGAAAACGTGTGAAATGTAAAACGCCGCCGCGGCGACGAAGGTCGAACACTTCGGATACGACGAACGTCGTCAGCAGTAGCAGCAGCAGCAGCAGCAGCAGCAGTGAAAGAAAAAGAGAAAAGAAAGAAGGAAATGGGAAAGGAAGAGATTCCGGCGAAACAAATGTGAATGTGTGTGTACATGCGTCTTTTTCTTTTATTTTGTAACGCTGACGCGCCTGTGTCAATGCCTCATACCTCGATCGAACCGACCTCTCGAGCAGCTGCAAGAAAACGCTGTAACGTGAAGAGATTCGCGACGCGACGAAATCTTGCGGTGCCCTTTCGAAAGTTCGATACTTCTGCGGTACACCTCAAGCAGGTGATCAGCCTGCTTGTACTCGTTCTAAAATTCGCAGCGCGGCGCGAACATTTCAAACGAATTGCGACAGTGTGTTGAGAGCGACATCGATTGCCATCTTCGTGAATCTCCGATTGTAATCGATGTTCAAAATATGCGGTTCAATGGTTTGTGGAGTTCTTTTAACGAATCCCAATGATTATCGATCGTATGCCGTTGACGAAAAATTTACAGCGTTGCGTTTTACAGCTGTCGCATTGTCGCAATCATTCTGATCGTGTTACCGCAACCGAAAAGAATGAAAAGAAGAAAAGAATTAACGGGATCGAGGATCGAGGAAGAACGCGCGCGTGAGCGAGCATCGGCAAACAAGAAAGAGAATACAATTCCTCACATAAGAAAAAAATCATGGTTATCGTAGAGAGAGAGAGAGAGAGAGAGAGAGAGAGAGAGAGAGAGAGAGAGGGAGAGAGAGAGAGAGAGAGAGGAGAGGTAAAAAATATAAACGGATGAATAAGATGAAGATAACGGGCGGACGCACGATACACGCAGCGAATCAAGATTAACTGCAAATTATTAACTGTGTAACTCTAATAAAAATCTATTTGAATGTAAGCGCGTTAAAAAATGCTTTATTAAGGAGAACAGTATATAAATATATACGATATATAGTAAAGCAAGCGACGCGGAAACACAAAAGGAAAAAGGTAACTCATTAGGAAGATTTCCGAGAGAGAGAGAGAGAGAGAGAGAGAGAGACCTCTTCTTTCTCTTCTTTTATTTTCACTTATTGGTTTGTTCGTAAGGTAAATAATATGTGTTTAGATGCTATAAAAACAAAGAGGCCCAAGCGAAACGGCCGGACGAGAGTCAGAACAAGATTAAAATATGGAGGAGGAATACATTTACAAGCTTAGAGCGATGTCGTATAATTCTAGATAATTTCGCACGAGAGTAAACGTTTCTTTAGCTATTTCGATCAGGGAGGAAACAAATATCTTCTAAAGACGTCGACAGATAGACAAAGAAATCCTCCAGAACGATTTCTGTACGATTTTGTAAAATATTTGCAACTTTGTAAACTTTTGGAATTTTTTTAGACGCTGGAGACACTTTTTGCTAGAAAATACTTAGGAGCTGTGCAGCTGAAATAGATCTTTCGAGATACCTCAAATACCATTTTGTGCGAATATTTCAAATACATACCTCAAGTATCAATCAAGTATTATCCGTAAAACGCCGGGTGTCATTATCTCGTGTGAAAAATCGCAGACTGAATTATCTCGGTCTTTCGGATAAATGGACGCACAATTCGAGAAAGAAAGAAAGAAAGAAAGAAAGAAAGAAAAAGGACGATCGTCTGCGTTTAGCTCAGTTAAGTGTTTTCGTTTTCTTCCAACTACCGCTTGCTACCAGTTATAATCTTAATTGTCCGTGAATGGTTACACACGAATGAGAACGGTGATGCACGATTCTGCAGACAAAGATACTGCAACCGAACGAAGATAATGCAAATGGGGGAGAGAGAGAGAGAGAGAGAGAGAGAGAGAGAGAGAGAGAGAGAGAGAGAGAGAGAGAGAGAGAGAGCGCTTCGAAATTTTTCTGTCATAAAAACTCCCATTGAGGGAGTGCCTATTTGAAAATGTTTCCACTTATCCACATTTGCAGGTATCAAAGCATACACACACACACATACACACACACACACACACACACACACACACAGAGGCACTCATACACGCACGCACATGCAATCATATGTCCGTGATTCAACAAATTTTCTGTTCACACAGAGTTTTCTATTTTTCCCCCTTTTATTATATTGATTCCACCCTTCTCAAGAAAACCCATCGCTATCTCCCCGTCGCTATCTCCCTTTCTTTGAGACTACACACGCAAAGCTAACGAAAATTCACATTATTGATCCATACACGACACCATATACGCACAATATACACTCGAAGCCGCTTCTTTTTACTCCCACCAACAACTGAACCACAGCGAATTGTATTTTCGAATTGTATTTTCGAATAATATAGCGAGCAGTTCTTTCTTTCGATCGAGGACAAAGAAGTAATGAGAAATCGATGTGTAATAAGTTTATGTGTAACGTTCAATTGAGGATTGTATGTATTTGTATATATATATAACTACAATGCAGTTCGCGAGTTAAGATACATTCTCCTTTTTCTACCATGAGAAAAATAAATTATTCTAGTTAATAAAAAGAAAGTTGTGTGTGCGCGCGCGCGTGCGCGTGTGCATACGTATTGTCCCCTCACCATCATGATTTTTCCATTATTACCGATACCGATTGTGTATGTTAACGATTTATATTCTCTCGATAATATCCTTTTTTTTACTTTTAAATATGAGCTTTGTACTCATGAAATCACATGTCAGATTCTAATAAGTTGTCGAAACATACGTTGGTAGGACATTCTTTGTACAGTCACGTCGTGACAAAACCGACCCATTGGCTGATTACGCGTGAGAGAATCGTGCCGATTAGACGTATTTCTGTCCAAAAAGATTGCTGACCGATAGAAGAAGAAACTACCGTATTTTTCCTGAAGAGGTATATTTCATTTCAGTCATCGTGATAATGAGTAAGCTTTTAAGAACAACGTCGCATGATACGTACAGTTTTTCTATCTCGCGATGATGTGATCAATTTGTGCGATCGCAAGGCTATCGATCAATTAGCGTGGGCAGATTAACATATATATATATATATATATATATATATATATATAGACAGACTGTATATACAGAGATAACATTAGATCGTTAAAATGATACTGCACCAAAGCTCCAAAGCTCGCCAACAAAATCAACTTTGCCTATAGTCAGTTTAATACGTACGTCATTAATTAATGAATTAATTTATTTTCACGATGAGATCTTATTATCTACCAATTAGGACATTCACCCTACGGATTGTTACAATTACACCAACAGTCTTGAGAACCTCTGACATCTCACAACTGAAACAACTAACATTGCGCAGTTTACGCGACAATAAAATCTAATCAGGGATGATCAGCGGATACTCGGATATTAAGAAGCGTTGATGTCCCTTCTTCGATCGTTTGAGAGTAAACGATTAAGGACGCTCTCTAAACAAATTGTTCAATTAATGCGCTATATATCTGCGTGGGTCGTCGCGCACATGTCATGCCTGAACCTTTCGTTCCGGCAGTTTGATATTTCAGCTCAGGAACGAGATAACTTTTGTAAGTATTCCCTTGACACATGTATTATTTAACGTGTAAATGTAATAACGCGATCATGTGGATCATCGCCGCAATGATCCATGCGGCGTGGATGACGAGTCGTCCACTCGTCGCCAAAATTGATCCGGCACGGAGCGTGTTAATTAATTTATTATCGCGTGTGCGTGCTTGCGCGTACTAATGACATTTACTCGTGAGGCTCTCGCTCATACCTCCTGTTATAATTTCTATTGTCTCATTTATCAACTTTCCTACATTTCCAATTTTTCTCAGTACTCCGCGATATTTGTTTAATTATATCATATAGAGATAGGCATACACAGAGTTATGAAGAGAAATATATAAAAATTTACAGAGTGTGCAACAATTTCGTGAAAAATCACGATATAAAAATATCGAGATACCGAGATAATCTTCCGAAATATAATCTTAACAAAATATTGAAATTGTCTCATTATACGGGCGGGTGCATCAGTGTATCTCGCTCGCTCGAGTACAGCAGCAAGAGGTAAAGAGACTCAAAGAGAGGTAAGTATCGATATACCTGTGTCTGTCTGTCTGTCTGTGTGTGTGTGTGTGTGTGTGTGTGTGTGTGTGTGTGTGTGTGTGTGTGTGTGTGTGTGTGTGTGTGTGTGTGTGAGAGCGTACTGTTTTTGGAATAATGGTTTCTCCTTGGAACAACATATACTCCATTACATATATTCCAGGAAAATTTATAATTAATATTTCGTGACGTTGTATATTGATATTTAGATATTAGTGTTACAACATTTCGGAAAATTGCCCTAGTTTAAGAAATTTCGAGATTTAAGTTTTCCGGGACACCCGGGAGTCCACCTGTATCGTCCACTCGTATTCGGAGAGACATTCTAACTATATACGGAGAGATTTTCTAATTATATTATACGCAAGTCAATCTGACATCGACTAACATTGCATTAAATGCACGAAAGGGCATCGATAGCCCTAAATCATCGACCCGCTGAGCCCGCTCGAATTTGCTTCGCCGATAACGAGCGATAACGTCGATGAAACACACACACACACACACACACACACACACACACATACATGCATGAAATCTTCTCAGAGGCGCACTCGCGCCAACAGTTAGGTGGGCCTGAGAGCGCCGACCATATCGCCCAGCAGTCGCTCGACACTGACTTCGCCGACCGTCGGCTTGAACAGCAACTCGTGCAGGGTAACACGGCAGAGAGCACGCGCTGGTGGTAAAAGCAGCAGCAATCGACCCACCCTGCGCGCATCCCTCTCGCAGAATACCGCCACCGTTTGCTCCTGCAGTGCCGACACCCGGCCCGGCTCGCAGAGTCCTCGCGATTCTGCGAACGATCGAAGAGCGTGTTTTGCGAAGAGGAATGTAAAAGGGCGCAAGAGGGAAGTATAACTCAAAGAACGTACGAATTGATTGATTTTTATATCTCTCTATAATTTGAACAAGTTGTAGTTTATACAACACTTCTAACACGTTTGCTAGTCGGTTCAATTCTCTGGCTAAAATCGACTGAATACGGATACTCCTATAGAAATCGAAATAACTTTTGGTTTTACGTTCTCGCATAAACGCTTTACGAATCTACTCTACATTATTAAATGAAAGGCTATAATAAAGAAAAAAAAAGAAGTAGAAAGTAGAAATAGGATGGCTGTGTATGAGGGATTTTCCAGATGAATCATGATCGAACGAGCATGTGAAATAATTTTGACTCTTACGAATTGCACAGTTGACTTATATATGCCCTGCTAATAAGCAGTCAACAATTTATTCATTGATTGTTAATTGTGTTAATATTATTTATATGATATTAATTTAACTTACTTTTGTACGTGTAATAAAATAATTGATTCAAACGCGATCGGAAGGAGATCGAGGAATGAATATCGTATCGTTCTCACCTGCCTTGAAAAGCACTATAGCTTTTAAGCACGCGTACTCGGAATGATCGACCCTCAAAGCGACGCATTTCGCTAAAAGTTCCCTCAACCTCCTCGCTTTGTCGACGAGAATCTCTCTTCGCTCCGGCGGCAGGTCCACCGGCACCAGGCTGGTCTCGTCCACGGAGAAGTTCCACTGCGCCGCTGTCAGTACAAATAACTCGCTCCACGATTCCTCCAGAAGAATAGTCTGGTCTCTGTAAGGGAGCTGGCAAGAGAGAGAGAGAGAGAGAGAGAGAGAGAGAGAGAGAGAGAGAGAGAGAGAGAGAGAGACAACCACATTGTAATTTCGAGTAAAACAGGTGGGGAAACTTTTCCCTATTCTTCCCGAGGAGAACTCTCCTTCGAGTGAACAGTCTCTGCTTTCTTGTTGAAATATATTCTGGTGCCTTCATACACTAGGATGTACTTCAACAGTAAAGGTTTAACAATACAACCAAGTGACTCAATATTTATCAGGTCAGAGTTTACTAGTTTTTCTGATTATTCACAAGCCTTATTTTGTTACAGAGGAAAACATTCGGTAGTCGGTACTCTCTACACTTATTGTCAATCTATTCCGGCACTCTTTCGCGCAGATTTTATCAAATATTAAACGGAGTCAAAGGTAAGTGAGTAAGTAAATAAATAAATAAATAAATAAATAAATAAATAAATAAATAACCGTATAATTGATAAATAATAAATCCGTGATATACCTCAATATTGTACATGATAAAATTCGTGCAAGAGAGTGTAGAATACCAGTCAGTTATAGCTAGTTTATTCCAACTGTCGATTGTACATATTCGGCTAATTCATTATTTCGATTTTGATTGTCATAATCATATTACTTTATTATAAATTATCATGTTATTATGTCACAATCATATCATATTATATCATTAGGCACAACAGGAGAGATTAAAGAGAGCAGTGACTTTTAGCCTAGTAAATGTTAAATGTTAATACTCGTTGATTCGTTAAAGATCTCTTTTTTCAATTTCTTCGAGTGAAACCCCCTATTTGTAGTACGACCCCCGCGATACCTTACATAAATTCAGGCACCCTGTATAACGATACAATTTGTAATTTGTAATCGACAACACAGTCTTGCGGTTCAGAATTCGCGCCACTGCGAACATCGCCACGTGCGCGCGCTATGTTCGCTTTGTGCCGTACTTATGTCTTTCCCTGATTTTACTGAGGTTTTACTTTGAATGGATCGGCGTGGAGATGAGGAGACCGGCGCGTGATTCGCGCGGCGGCCACGTAGCCGAGGCGACCATGTTAATCAAGGTCGCGAAATGCGAG